TTAATAAAATATGAATTCACTTTTAAATGTTATTTGTATTTTCTGAATTAATAATAAATAACAGGAGAATAATAATGTCATAAATGGAGTTGCAAATTTTTATTAAAAGTGATAGTAAAAAGGGTGGTGACGTATCCCAAGGCTAGAATTTAGTTTCATGATAGCAATGAAGTTGCAACAGAAATTTCTGCTTCAAAGTTAAAAAAAAACGTAAAGAACCGGATTCTTTCCTTTCTTTTTTAAATATGAATATTCCTCACATTACACAACAGAATTCTCAATTTAACTTCCTAAATGCAAGTGCTAGGAATGTACTCTAAGAAATGTTCCTTCAAAATCTGGGAGTTACCTATTATTATCTTACTTTCAACACTTAACTTCTTTTCATTCTCAGAGGTCCCAAAAGGATTCCCCTTGACCTACAGTATTTCCATGAACAAAGACTGAAAGCTTTTCAGAGCAGCTTATTTGCACTGTAATTTGTAAAAACTATGCCAGGAGACTGCAAAGCCTTTTTACTTAAGAAGCTGGGGTTAATGGAATCTATGGAGTATCAACTGCTTGATGATATAGTCATGAGTCTAAGAATTCACTATGCCTTCTATTAGCTCAAACTGCTGAGAAATGTTTTTCTCTTATTATTAGCTGTAATCTTAAGGCCTCACTGAAAAAGTAATCTTTTAGAGTTAAGAAACAATTACCTAGAATAAACCTTAATTAATCCTCTTGTGATTTCAAGGACTTTATTTCTTTTTCTTACCCAGTCAAAAAGCTCATCCTTCATAAAATGGTTTCATACATTTATTTATCTTTCATTTTCTTCAACCCTGAGAGACTGATCATGTAATTGTAAAGCACTCCTTGAATAACAAAGTGCTATTCCTACAAACAGTTCACATAACAGCAGTCAATAAAACTGAAGGGATCTAATGAATCACAGGGAGCTCTGGTAGCATAGTGGCTAAGGCACCCGACTGCTAACCAGAAGGCTGGAGGTTCAAATCCACCAGCCACTCCTCGGAAGGAAGATGGGGCAATCTACTTCCGTAGTGATACTGCCTCAGAAACCCAAGGAGGGGTCGCTATGAGTCGGGCCGGACTTGACGGCACATAACAACAATAATGAATCACAAGTACTCTTTCCTATATCTCCAGCAGATTTCCAAAGACTGAAATATTTTGGAGTGCATTATCCATTCAACATTGCTAGCATAAAATACATACTAACCACTTATGAAGCAATGTTGGTGGGGATGTCATGTAATTTTTAGTACTAAATTAAAATAATTAAAAAATATTTATATATTTTATTTATGTAAAACTCTCTAAAGGAACTTAAAAAGGACAGTAAATCCTGTCAGCACTCAAGAAAGGAACAATAAGAAAACACAGGAAAAATATTTAATAAATGATATATCCTTGTCTATCTTATAACAGCAAATGAAATGTTTTATAGTCAATTTCAGCATTAAAGAAAAATCGATACAAGCAAAAAATTACTTATTTTAGTATTAAAAACAAATATTAAACTCAAAATCAGTCACTTACTTTTGGTACCACTGGTCCTCTGTTATTGTTTCTGCTTCTATGACTAGACAATGGGAAAACTTGTCCAAGCTGATTTGGACGTTCAGTACATTCTGCAGTTATAGTATTTACAGTATTTGTGGCCTGAAAGGTGTTAGAGTAAGGTGTAGGAAAAGGATGATAAAAACCCATAACTTGGGCACATGGCGCCGGCATCAGTTGGTAATATGTATACTCTGTAGAAACAGGAGGCTGAGCAGATATAATAGGGTAAGCAAGGTATGGTCCAGCAGGGTTTGGACTGGGCTGCTGCCATCGAATATCATTGTTATATAATGGAAATTGTCTGCAAAACAAAATTAAGAATAAATCTATTGGCAAGTCTAAAATTACTGCTACAAAATCTCTTCTACCACAAGAAGAAAATTGGCTTCATAGTAATTCTGGTCCAAAGCCAAAAGCCAGTGCCATCGAGTCAGATCCAACTCATAACAACCCCTCCTTGGGTTTCTGAGGCAGTATCACTATGGAAGTAGATTGCCCAGTCTTCCTTCCGAGGAGTGGCTGGTGGGTTTGAACCACCAGCTTTCCAGTTAGCAGTCAAGTGCCTTAGGCACTACGCCACCAGAGCTCCCAATTCTGGTAGAGAGGACAAAATTATCATCATCTTATACATTCTCTTACTGTAAGTAGATTATTATGTACATGAAATAACAATTTAAATGACGGTTTAAATCAATCTAATTTGACAGCTTTATTGCACTCTAAAATCTAAAAGTACCTACTTATTTGTAGCTCTCCCTTCAACCTTAAAAAAAAAAAAAAACTCACTGCCATCAAGTCGTTTACAACTCATAGCGACCCCCACTGGGTTTCTGAGGCTATAAACCTTTATGGAAGCATATCACCTTGCCCAGTCTTCCTTCCACGGAACAGCTAGTGAGTTCAAACCGCTGACCTTCTGGTTAGCAGTCAAGTGCCTTATCCACTACGCCACGAGAGCTCCTTTAAATAAAACATCTGACTGGTGGATCTACCAACAAAGAGAGTCCAAAGTTCCCATCCAATGACAGTTGTGACAACCTTGAAAATAAGCAGGGGAAGGTGATCACTGTGTAAGGTGGTCATTATACAGGGTGATCTGAGTTCTCCACCTCTCATTGTTCCGCTTAGTCTCAGGATCTCCTACTAAGGAGGCCATACTCTCCTAGAGAGTATGACAAAGTCTAGCTATTTTCCTAGCTCCTTTCCTTGGAAATGGAAGAAGGCTCCAGGTCTAAGGGAAGGAAGAGAAGAAAGAGTCAAACTTTCCACTGCTATCTTATCCCCAGTATTAGAGGTTCTTTTATGTGCAGCTCCCATAAAGCATCAGCAAATTTCTCCTGTCCCAGGATGCCCCATCACTGAAGGCTGCTACTGCTATGTGAGAGGAAAGGAGAGCAGGCAGGCAGCACATACAGCTTTTCTGTACTAACTCCAGACAGAGCAAAATAATCCCAAAATATGTTAAAATAACCTGCTCATTAGTTTACTCTTGAATTCTCAAATACTGTTTGGGAAGGTAAAAACCCAATATTTAGCATACTGTACACTTGGCCATTTTGTCAAATACAAAAATATTATCATTATTAAATATAGATTACAAACAACTTAAAATAATCCAGTAGAGGTCAAAGGTCTTTAATATGAAAGAAATAAAAATAAATAATAATAAATTACCTATTGGACTGGTTTTCTTGCACAAATGGGTAACAAGTAATCAGGTAGCTGGGAATTGGAGTTGGTTCAATACCAGAAACACTTCCATTATCATTTGGGAGCGCCATAGGTATCATAATTGTATCAGGATTCTTCTTCTGGGGAATAAATGGCTCTACTTCAGCTGACAGCTTGACATTCTTCAAAGAGAAAGTGAGATGCATTAATACCCAATGAGCAAAAAACGTTAACATAAATTCACAATTTAACAAGAGTTCGCCTTTACAAACAGTAATTAGGACTCTTCTCAGTAGTCAAAACATTCTAAGGGAACAGCAATGTTAATTTTAAGTAAGTGAACAATGCTCATGTTATTTATACAGAGCTATCAAATAAGAAAAAGCTTATCAAAGATTACTATATTTCAATGGAATCATTCTTACATAATCAAATCTGTTAACACAATCAGAAGTAAGAGGAAGTCATACTTCAGAGTCCAAAGGTAAAGTTGGTGGGAAGAAATCTAGCTCTTCAGACTAAATAATGCATTTTTAACTAATTTTCTTAAGGGAAAAACATCATTAGAGTCCTGAAAGATAATTACTTTCTATTTTGTTTGAACAGTATAAAAGGAGTAATTTCTGTACATGTCAGGAAATTAGACTAATATTGTTAAGTCAAAAGGAAATAAAATGTCTAATATTAAAGAAAAAAATGCTTGACAAAAGGGGAAATAACTTCAGTTCACCGTTAAACTGGGAAAAAAATGAGAACTACCTCAATTTCCCAGTAGACAAGCTAAGGAAATTAATATAATTCATAATATGCACTCTATTTTACTTGGTCTGTATTACCACCACAATCCCAAAACATGTTAAAATAATCTGCTCATCAGTTTCTTATAATAAATACATATATTTAAGACATTTGAAAAAAATAAACTATATAGCATTTAGCAAAGCACATATGGATAACAGAGGTATATAAAAGTAAAATCCATGAAAGTACCATAGGGGTAGTCTTAAGAAAGGAGGAGCTGTGATTGGGAGGAGACATCTGGCGAGATTCTGAGGTGCCCAGGAGAGTTCATGTCCTAATTTGAGTGACAGCCATTGGATATTCACTTTACAATTCATTAAGCTGTACATTATTTTGTACTTATCTGGAATTGTCACACTTAACAAGCTTAGAAGTAATAAAAAAAAAAATCTACAGGTATAGTCTACAAAAATAAAAGCGGACTAATAGAAACCTCATAAATATTGCAATCTAAAAAGACATTACTTGAAACATTACTTTTCAATGAAACCAGTAAGTGAAAAGCAAGCCAATATATCAACCACTAAAATCAATTACAGGTTTCCCCTGCTATTCAAAAGTTGAGCATGCCTATGAAAACTTTCATAAACTGAAATGGCATAAAGTGAAGAATTACTTACATGGTAAAATTTTTTAGCTCTTCTAGATCCAAAGAATAACCTAACAAACCGTACCAAATAACATATAAAACCTAAAATAACACTAACACATAGGGTTCAAAGGCACAGTAAAAAGCTACGGTGGCTTGACGTTGAGTTCCCGGGAAAGCACGGCTTGGGTTGCAAGCTGCCTCTTTAACACCTTGCAGCTAAATACACACTAAACACTAATTTCAGATTTCTCTCCATTAGTGATAAAAGGTACTAATATAGGTCTTTGGTAAAAGCTGTTGTTGTTGTTGTTATGTGCCATCGAGTCTCCCCGACTCATAGCGACCCCTCCTTGGGTTTCCGAGGCAGTATCACTACGGAAGTAGGATTGCCCAACCTTCCTTCCGAGGAGTGGCTGGTGGGTTTGAACTGCCAGCCTTCTGGTTAGCAGTCAACTGCTTTTAGTAAAAGCAAAGGGACCTAAAGAGAACTTCTGAAAAGCAAAGGATACCTGTACCTCGATGCAGTAGTGCTAATCAGGATTTTTCCAAGAAACCATTATTAGAAACTCCCATCAAAGCACAGACCTCAGAATAAATTCCAAGTTTGTTTTTCACAAAAGCACTCTAACAAATCAAAAATCATCTAAAGACACAACTTGCTATGCTTAATGAATTGCCTTAATTCAGTAAAATAAAGTTTTCTAAAAGTAATTCACTGTAAATATTCTGAAATGCTTCTATAAAAAAGGTAAAAGGAAGACAACTGAACTACACAGCAGTATTAATTCAATGCACTTCCTCCCTACTAGATTTAACTTCCAAGTCTACGACTGTCCTATTAACAAAAATCTGAAGGACACAGAGTAAAAAAAACACTGCCATCGAGTTGGTTCTGACTCATAGTGACCCCCATTAGGTTTCCAAGGCTGTAAATCTTCATGGAAGCAGACTGCCGCATTTTTTCTTCCAGGACTACATATAGTAATCACACAAATATTTGTGAACTAGTAGTAGTTTCTTGAATTCCAACATAAAAAGTTAAAACATTTTCAACTGCTATTAATAGTACTAGGAGCTCTGGTGGGTAGTGCCTCAGGCATCTGACTGTTAACCAGAAGGCTGGGGTTCAAACCCACCAGCCATTCCTCAGAAGGAAAGTTGGGCAATCAATTGCCGTAGTGATACCGCCTCGGAAACCCAAGGAGGGGTCGCTATGAGTCAGGTCCAACTCGATGGCACATAACAACATTAATATTAGTAATTTTCTGTGATATTTACTGGAACGCAAAGCTTATTTATATATGGTACAAAATATCAATCTAATAAATGTCTCCTCAAATGGAAATGTCTATTTTCAATAGTAATTCACAGATAATGGTAACTTGCTTTAAAAACTCATAGATATTGATAAAAAATGAGGAATTTAAGGGATTTCTTTTAAAGACACATTTTAACTGTACTAAAATATTTTTATGAATTCTTTTAAAAATCAAAAAATCTTTTTGAACATAAAAACTTTCTCAACAGTTTTGTAAATCTGGACTACTAGGCATTAGGGCTTTATTTTTTTGTTTTAAAGCAAGGAATATGAGTACATCAAATTCTCAGTCTAAAATGAAAAGAAAGAACAGTACTACATAATTATGAAATAAGATATTTTAAAAAGAACATTCTCCTGACCAAAAAAAAAGTCACCAATTTATAAATTACTATGGTAACAACATACTCAAATTCTTGCTCAGGTCAAAGGCTGGAATGAGGGTTTGTTGTTTGTTTCGTTCATTTGTTTGTTTTTACAACCAGTTTCATTTGTACTTTATAATGAGTTTTGTTAATTTAAAACAATCCAGTGCTCAATCAATGCCATGTATAATTTATAATTAATGTCTGCACAGATACAAAGTATTTACCTGTAAGTACAAAAGTTTTTACTGGTTTCTAAGGTAAGTCCTATTCTGAGTATCAGAGTTCAATAATAAAACTCACAATGAAATGACCCTTTGTTTTTAGCGCCCCCCCCCCAAAAAAAAAAAAAACAGAAAGAAAAGCTGCTGAAGTCAACAGCTGCACAAACAGAAGATGTCACTAGTAGGAACAGACTGGCAAACTTTCTCCTATAGCTACAGTTCTGTTTGGTTTTAAAGGTTGTTTACTGTGACTTTGGGGCCTCCAGTACCACACATTAAAATGCAGCATCTGCTGTTTTCAGATCTGAAAAGCAATGTTAAGATACTGAAATCATCTTATAATTCTATATAATAAAACCCACATAAACATTACGTTAAAAACAGCAGATTTTATCAGTATTTCGATTACATAAGCACAGAAATCAAAAACTTGCACAGGGGACAAGAAAATGCTAGGAAAAAATTATCTAGACTAGCTATTTCACACTGATTTTATTCCTCAGTCTGAATTTGTGTGTAGTCTCTCTACTTTCACAAAGCTTTATTTTTTAGTCATCTTAACTTATAGCAGAGAGCTGTCGTCTCCTTAAGGTATAAATATAAAATAAGTCTAAACTACATTGAAAAAAAAATCTAGCTATTCTTGTACTATTTGCTTCAGATCAGAAAGAAAAAACTCTTTACACTGTAAAATTCTGTATCTTTTCAAAATTATTACAAAAATTCCCAAGTTATTGAAAAATCATAATAATCCTCAAAATCTGTATTCAGAAAAATATTTAAGTGATTTCATACTCATCTCTAATTTTGTCTATATTAAAGTAAATGTCAATAATAAAATTTCTTTTATATGAATAATCTAGAAAACCCAAGATTTTATCAGAACATGCAACTATTATAATCTTGCTTATATTATTAAACAAATGCATTCATACTTGGGAGCCTAAATAATTCAACAAATATATACTGAACACATCATACTGGAAAAAGCAATAACCTAAACTGGTTTGGAAAAACTGGGTAAACACTAGCACTAAACACATACCAGCAGCAAATGTACACTAAACTCCTCAGATGAAGTGTCCAAATGAATGCAAAAAAAAAAAAAGACACCTACTTCAAATCAAAACTAAAGTAGAACATAAAGCACCAAACTTTCAGAATAGGTATCACACATACATGGAAACAGTATGACCACAAAAGCCTTTCACACCTTCTTAGGATGACAATGTATCAAACACTGTATAAAAATATATCAAACATTAAGATTTTTTCCATCCTATTGTAGTGCCTAAGGCACCTGGCTGCTAACCAGGAGACTGGTGGTTCAAACTCGCCAGTTACTCACAGAAGGAAGACTGGGCAATCTACTTCTGTAAAGATTTACTGCCTGGGAAACCCAAAGGGGGTCACTATGACTTGGAATCGACTCGATGGCAATGAGTTCGGTTTTTTTGGTTTATGGACAAAAATAAAATAAACGTCGTCTAACTGAAAAAAGGATTACTGTTTAAGAGATACCTGCTGGGTGTCTTGGTTTTCTAACTGGAATGGCTTATACTGAAAGTAAACCAAAACAAGCTACAGTATTTATATGTTTAAGTTTTACAAGACTTCAGAACACATAAACCAAAACCAAACACACAGCCATCAAATCAGATCCAACTCCTAGCAATCCCTCCCTGGGTTTCTGAGGCGGTATCACTATGGAGGGAGCTCTGGTAGCATAGTGGCTAAGACACTTGCCTGCTAACCAGACGGCTGGCGGTTCAAACCCACCAGCCACTCCTCAGAAGGAAGGTTGGGCAATCCTACTTCCGTAGTGATACTGCCTCGGAAACCCAAGGAGGGGTCACTATGAGTCGGGTTTGACTCGATGGCACATAACAACAACAACATCACTATGGAAGTAGATTGCCCAATCTTCCTTCGGAGGAGTGACTGGTGGGTTTGAACCACCAGCCTTCCGGTTAGCAGTCAAATGCCTTAGGCACTATGCCAACACAGAGGGGGAAAAGGTAATTTTGACTCTGCTCACTTGCTTAGTTCTCCATACATTTTTCCTCCTTTCTTAAAACTGACAGAATCTAATGTTAAAATATGATGGTAGTTTCCTAAGCACCAACTTTTTGGATTTAACATTAGATTTTGGATCACCCAATTTATTAACTTTTGCTTATATATTTATTATTTCCTCTCCTGCTTTGAAGGGATTTTGTAACTTCTTGCCTTGGATGCTTAATTTTTATTTTCATTTAAAACTGCTTACTAATGAAAGCACTTATGACTATGAATTTGCCTCAGAAAACAGCTTCAGCCATATCCCATGAGTTTTCATGTATGGTTATTTTTTTGTTCTTACTTTTTCAATAACCTATTAATTGTACTTTTTATTTCTCTATAATCCAAGGATTTTGGAAATGTCTTCTAAATTTCCCAAGTTGTATTTTCTATAAATGAGAATGCATTAATTTTTTGCTTAATTACAAAAGTATTATTTTTAAAAGCTGGTAAGATTTACTCATCTCTAAATATAAAAGGCCAACTATTATATTACTATAATAAGTATATAATTACTATTATAACTATTATAAGTATTACTGAATAATAAACAAATAGTAACTTCCTTAAATATATTTAGCTTGGAGTGCCAATGATGTTTGAAGATCATAAATTATTCAGAGAAAACAATTATAAGCCCAGTAATTTTTGAACCCTTATTAGTGAAAAGCACATTGCATTAATGTTAAAAACAACAGTAACCAATAAATTTTTAAAGTCTGTCTAATGTTAATGTACTAAAAATTAACCCAATGTTTAAATTATTTGATTTGTGGTAATATAAAAGGGACATAAAACCTTGAGTATTTTGCCACCTCTCTGGTAGCATAGTGCCTAAGGCACTTGACTGCTAACCAGAAGGCTGGGGGTTCAAATCCACCAGTCACTCCTCGGAAGGAAGAGTAGGCAATCTACTTCCATAGTGAGACTGCCTTGGAAACCCAAGGACGGGTCGCTATGAGTTGGGTCTGACTCGATGGCAAATAACAACAACAACAAGACTACTAATAAAAGAGCTCTGGTTGTGCAGTGCCTAAGGCTAACCAGAAGATCGGTGGTTCAAATCCACATGAAAAGAAGATGGGGCAATCTACTTCTGTGAAGATTTATCACCTTGGAAACCCAATAGGGGGACTGCTATGAGTCAGAACCCACTCGATGGCAGCGGGCTGGGTTTTTGTGGAAGCCCACTTTTTAAACAACAACAACGAAAGTCTCAAAAATATTGTCCTAAATATAGAAACACCAAAACTTTATAAACATTACGAACCCCAAGATGTACTCTTCATGTCACTTCCACTAACCAGTAAGGGGGAAAAACGCATTATGCCAAGTATTATCAGTCTGCTGCCAGAAGACCTAACTCCCGAGCAGTAGCGGACTGATAATACTTGGCATAATATGCTAAGATATGTTGTTGTCATTGTTATGTGCCGTTGAGTTGGCCCTGACTCATAGCGACCCCTCCTAAAAAAAAAAAAAATCAAAAACTTCCCAAAGTTGAGAAATCTCTATTCTAGCCCATATGCTACCATTAATAGTTTTTAGCCTGTTTTCAATGATAGCCCCCTTTGAGAACAGGACAAAAATCCTACACTCTTATCCCAGAAAAAAAAATGCAGCTCACTCCTTCCAGGACGCTCACGAATCCCTGAATTAACTGGCTATAGCATTAACTAAGCAAAGCCACATCACTTTTCTGGGTGTTTCTGTTGTGTTCTGAGGGAGAAAAGAAGGTTCAAATTTTTCTCCTCTTAGGATTAAGCAGAAGAGGCAGAAGGCACCAGATCAAAAGAAAAGAAAAAGGCTCTTTAGTAGAAAATCTTTCAAGATTTTTTTCCCCCTAACCCTTATTTGTATGAAGTTTCAATTGGTTATGGACTTCGGAAAGACCTAGAATGAAAATGGGACTCCTTAGTTTCAACTATTTTCTCAGAACACTTGCTGTTAGAAAGATAATCACAGATAAGTAACTATGCTAAAAGGTTATCATCAAAATAGTTAATTACATCTCCTCTATGATTAAAGGAACCATAAGTATAGGTATGGTAACATTACTTACTGGTTACAGTTCTCCGAGGTGAAGGACCCAAATGTTTAACCCTTCATTAACAACACACAAGGAAGGAAAAGGTTCAAGGATATTTCCTATTTGTCAGGCCTGAAAATCTCAGGCATCTTTGACAAATAATTTAAAAAACATATTTTTTAATTAAACTAGATATAGGCTGTGTATACAGTATCTAGGTCACAGGAAAGCTTGTTTATATTTTCTAACAGGTTCCACATCAATTTTGCTTTGCTAATTCCATGTAAGGCGCTCTGGTAGCATAGTGCCTAAGGCACTTGACTGCTAACTGGAAAGGTGGCGGTTCAAACCCACCAGCCACTCCTCGGAAGGAAGGTTGGGCAATCTACTTCTGTAGTGATACCGCCTCGGAAACCCAAGGAGGGGTTATGAGTCGGGTCCGACTCGATGGCAGTGTGTCTGTTTTTCTGTGTGTAATTGCATGTATTGTTTTTAAAAGCTCATTTGCATTTTCAGTCAGTCACGTAGGAAGTTGCACTTTGCCAGTTTTTCTTTTTTCAAAATAAAAATTTGTTCTGATTAATCATAAATACGCAAGTATAGAAATCTGGTAAATCGTATCTCATTTTTTCAGGTACTAATTAGTCCATCTGTAAAGTAATTAGGCAAATCATTAGCCTCTCCTCTCTCGTCTATCTGCCTGGTTTATCACTAAGCACGGCCTTCTTCAGCAAAAAAAGGGAAGGGATAATAAGCAAACTTCGAGTTCATCAAACTGGCTATAATTAAGTAGTTTTGGTAAAGGTTTGGAGAATGGAAAAACTGAAACTTTGGTGCGAAGCGGCTTAGATCTTTTTATATTGCCATGGTCGCTGCCTCCCAGTGTCTCCTAGTATGGATAGATAATCAAGAATTTACTGCAATTAAAAAAAAAAAAAGAAGAACACTAAATAGGACTACGTTTCGAATATGATAACGGGCTCAGAAATCAAATCACTCTTTGGGTCCTACACCCTTAAAACATAACTTTTTTTTTGTAACTGATTATAATTTTTTGTGAAACAACTGGAGAAAAGAGGCTGGGGCAACACTATAGTGTTTCATTTCTTAAACGGAACATCTCCCTAAAGCCACTGCAACAGCAATTCTTCGCTCAACTGACCGTAATGTAAAAAAAAAAAAAAAAAGACTCTCCTTCACCTGTTTATCACCCATTTGGTGTTTCTGGATGCAAAGCCTTTCATCTAGAAAACACTCCAGAAATGAAGGGGGGGGGGGCTGAAGTAAAGGGTTCTTTCCCTGCAAGTTATAAACCACCAATTCGGGAGGGCACGGACAACTTTGAGCCTCTGGCCCTTTCACCAAGCCAGCAAGGAGGGGCGACAGTGAGCCCCCAAGAATGAGGAGGTAACCAGGGCTGAAAAGGGTCCACTCCAGAAGCAGCACCTGGGAACAATGCCGGAGAATCGAGCGCCGCCAGGCTCTCGGGCGAATGTGGATCTGCACCCCACAAGGACCCAAGAGCTACGGCCGCCCGGGTCACAACTCGAAGTCGATGTCCCAGGCCCGGTCCCTGCGGAAGCGGCGGTACCCAGCCCCCGGCCGGCCCAACCCCAGCCCCAGCCCCAGCCCCAGCCCGTGTACCTGGTCTGCGGGGGCTCGGTCCATGGCTTCTGCAGCAGCAGCGGGCCCGCGTTAGTTGGTGTGGAGAGCGCTTCGGGCCGCTTTCTCCATGGCCCCCCGCTCAGGTCCAGACCGGGCTCGGGGCCTCCACCCCTATCTACTTGGCCCCAACACCGAGTCCGGCTACGCCACTGGCCGAGGAGGCGGCTCCAGCTCCAGGAGATGGAGGAGGAGGCGGTGGCAGCGGTCTAGGGGAGGGATCATCTGGGACGGAAGCCGAGGAGGGCCTAACTGGGCCGGAGGCGTTGTCGGAAATGGAGGCAAGCTGGAAAGCGAGGGAGCGGGGAGGAGACAGAGAGGGGCAGTGGGCGGTGTGACGCCAAATGCCTTGAGTGGGTAGCGAGAGCCTGGGCTAGCCGAGCTGGAGACTGAAGCCAGATGAAGATGCCCAGGAGCAGAGTTCCGGGATCACATTGCGCTTTGCGCGAGACTTAAGTGTGCAGCTAGACTGTTAAACCCGAAGGGAGTAGCGCCTCTTGGGACCCAGGGCACTCAGATTTCAGCCTTCAGGGACCTCAGACACCTGCCCATGATCCGAAACCGCCTTTTAAGTGATGTTCGAAGAGCTTTTAGCTGCCCACTGTATATATAATAGTTACTTATGTTACCCAGATGAAGTGAGGAAAACGCCGCAGAATGGCCAAAGGAAAGAAACCCTGTCACGAGGTTCCACAAGTACTTGTTGCTTATTTAATCTGTCGACCATGTCCAGGCCCACCTCTAGGCTGATTTGGCTCTTCTCAGAACCCCTGATTTTACTGAGTCTGTATCACACCACCCAACAGTTAATTACATACTCTGGTATGTTGCTCTTTCCTCTGTACTTACTTTATTGTTGTTGTTGTTACGTGCCAGTTGAGTTGGACCGGACTCATAGCGACCCCACCTTGGGTTTCCCAGGCAGTATCACTAGGGAAGTAGATTGCCCCATCTTCCTTCCGAGGAGTGGCTGGTGGGTTTGAACCGCAAGCCTTCTGGTTAGCAGTCAACTGTCTTAGGCACTATGCTACCAGATAGTTCCTTTTATTTCTAGTTCATTGGGTCCTTGAGGACAGAGGCTGCCACAAAACTGACAAACATCTCAGAAATTCCCTCTGAGCATCTCCTTAGACAAACTCTCCAACATAAACACACACATCTTCAAAGAATTCTTGTTTGCTGGTTAGCTCCCAAGTGAGGAAGATACCAAGCTGTATAGTATATACTTAAGGAGGAAAGAAGTGGCTGCTGTTTGGGAGACTGATATGGAGATCCACAGCCGAGGAAGAGAGTATTTGCTTTGTCATGGCTCAGGAGAAATTAGTAGAGACTTGAATGCCTTTTCAGTCGATCTAAGTTGTTTAATGTTATTTGAATAAGATTTCATGAAAATGTTGGTCTGTGAAGCCCCTGACTACATTATGTTGCCATTTTGGCCTGGTGAGAAGAGCTATGTTATATAAATAAGGTTTATATCAATGCTGGCAATAGAAACAGTTCTATGGAGAAAGATTTATATTCGCACATGGAGATCTCTCTATTTAGTTTTATTGACTTTACTGCCTCCTCAATTTTAGATAGATAGGTATTTTAACTGTGTGTATGTATGAATGTCACATATATGAGCAACTCAAGGACTTAATTATGTTAGTATTCCCAGTGCCTATCACACCTGGTCGAGATTCAGTGAATGATGAATAAATTTAGAGTTGCTCAGGAAAACTAAGCTATTTATAAGATGCAGTTATGTGAACTAACAGCTGACCATCCTTCCTCACAATTGAAAGATAAAAAGAACTCTAACTTTTCAGAATGTCTCACCACTGATGGTCTTAACCATAATATACCTGACCCAAGAAAAAAGACACCACCACCATACCTTTGAGATTACCTCTTATCCCACTCCACCCCCCTCCCTCTCCCCTTGTTGGGACTTTCACTGTAACCCCAGGCTACAATAGAGTGAAAAGTAGAGAAGGGTGGATGAACCAGGTGGACCAGCCCCTCTCCTACCTCTCTGCCACCCCATTATGTAACTCTGAATACATCTTCAAACAAGTATTATAATATACCATTAATCAGCATTTTCTTGACATCAAGGTGGTGTTTCGAGTTATTCAAACAAAATACTTTGCCAAATAAATGACTGGTATATTTTCTTAGTTTAAAAATTAAATGCATTTTTATTTGTGTAAATTAATAAGTTCCCTTGGCACTTTAAAAAAAAAGAACTAAATATGAATACATTTTTGAATGAGTAAATAAATGAGGAAAGAGGGATAAATCTTCCTTCCAGAAGAATTCCAAATAATATATGTAGATACTCCTCCTGCAGGATATGTAGATACTCCTCCACTCTCCTCTAAGCAGGACCGCACTTAGTGGCTCTCTTCCAAAGAATAAAGTATGGAAAGGGAAAATTAGAAACTTTACAGTGAAGAAAGCTGGCAAACACAACCTTAACCAAGTGACTAAGGTTAACATCACCAGTGATACAAATCATGATGATGCCATGTACCCTATTATGAATGACATGAGGAGAAAGACATTTCAATTATATGGTGTTCTTCCCTAAAACTAATAATCCAAATCTATAAAAAACATCAGCCAAACCCAAATTGAAGAACAGTCTACAAAATACCTAACTAGTACTCCTCAAAACTGTCAAGGTCATGAATAACAAGGAAAGACTGAGAAACTCTGGAGTCCATCTGGCCAGAAAGACTTACCTCATGATATCAGCAGACCTCTGAGAGGGGGCAGTGATTCAACCATCAAGCCTATGTAATGAGGTCCCAATAAAGGTGCTGGATAAAAGAAGGTAAAAACCCAAACCCAAACCCATTATCATTGAGTCAATTTCAACTCATAGCCACCCTGTAGGACAGAGTAGAACTAACTGCTCCAGGGTTTCCAAGGCTGTAATCTTTAAGAAAACAGACTACCACATCTTTCTCCCATGGAGTAACTGGTCAGTTGAACCTCAGACCTTTTGGTTAGCAGCTGAATGCTTCAGCACTGCACCACCAGAGCTCTTTCCAGAGGAGAACAATGGGTCCCTTTTTGGGACATGGATGCTTCACACTGGGAACCCTTAGACCTAGCCCTATTTGTCTCTTTATTTGTATCCCTTTTGCTGTGATAAAACTGTACTTGTAAGTATAGTTCTTTCCATGAGTTCTGCATCATTCTAGTGAATTATTGAGCCAAGGGAATATTGAGAGCCAACATGTCATAAGTGAGGACAAGTCCTAGGGAGTCCTGAAGACCCCTAAGCTTATAGCTGGCATTTTGAGGGTAATGGAAAAACCCCAATTTGTAGCCAACAGATGAGAAATTTTGTTTGTCATGGGACTACAAGCTCTTGGCTGGCATCTGAGGTCTTGGGTAGACTCAGCAGTCAGGAGGACTGTGTTCTTTAACTTGTGAGTTCTGACCTAACTCCAGGTGGTTAGGGTCAGAGGAGTAAGTACTGTATGTCCCGCTGGTGTCATACCATATATGAAACAGATAGAAACAGAATTACTAAATTGATTTGATTGATTTTTACAGTTTGGTGTGAGAAGTGGGATTTTATTTTCCCCACAGTTACCATCACCCCAGTGACTTTTAAAACTTCTCTACTTATATCAAATGTCTGTCTTGTTCACAGTCGTATTCTCCCAACTAGACCAATGCCTGGCACACAGCAAGTGCTCGATAAATAATTGTTAAATAAATAAGCATGTGATAATACTATTAACTTGGGATTCTTTCATCCAGGGTTGGAATTTAGTAAGCCAAAAAAAAAAAACTAAACCCACTTCCATCAATTCAATTCCAAAGCATAGTGATCTTATAGGACAGAATAGAACTGGCCCCATAGGTTTCCAAGGCTATAAATCTTTATGGAAGCAGTTTTTTTTTTAAAAAAAAAAAAAAAAAAAAACAGCCGCACCATTCTCCCATGGAGTGGCTGGTGGGTTTGAACCACCACCTACCTTTCGGTTAGCAGCCAAATGCCTTAACCACTGTGCCACTAGAGGTCCTTTTTGGCATTTGTTGGTCATGTGCATTTTTTGGAATGAGTAGGATTCAGTGGAGTTCAAGGAGAAAATTATTTTATTTTTTACTCCACTGTCCCTTCTAACTCTCTGAGGGTTACAACTGTTTCTGTCCTGGATAAAATCTCATGTCCAAAAAACCAAACTCATTGCTGTAGAGTTGCTTCCGACTCATAGTGACCCCTCCTTGGGTTTCCGAGGCGGTATCTCTATGGAAGTAGATTGTCCAGTATTCCTTCTGAGGAGTGGCTGGTGGGTTTAAACCAGGCACTGGTTAGTTGTCAAATGCCTTAGGCACTACACCACCAGGGCTCATTTAGGTCACGCAAAATTCATCCCAAATTAAAATTTTTCCTTTTCTCAAATGTGGAACAAATCTTAAAACCATTAAAAAAAAAAACAGCCTTACTGGTCTGAAGAGACTGGTGAAACCTCCAAGACCATGGCCCCTAGTCACTTTTTGGGTGTGGAACTTACTTCCATGGCTTCCAGCCAAACAATATACAGGCATATAAGGTGAACATTTACACCAGGCAGGTACATTCCTTAGAACAATCAACCACAGGAGATCAGAAGGGCAGTATGTGCACCAGGAAATAGCTCCTGGAAATAGCTCCAAGGGCAGGAATGCATAGGAAAGAAGGACACAGGGAAAGGGTAACCACAAGGAGGAAGTGGGAAGAGAGCTGTTACATTATGGGGACTGCAATCAATGTCATGAACAAAATGTGTATGAACTGTTGTATGGAAAATGAATTTCCTCTGTAAACTTTCACCCAAATCACAATTTAAAAAAAAAAAAAAAAAAAAAAATTCCTTTTCTCCAGCTGAGTCCTGCTGCTTCTGGCTGGAAGCCTGCAGTGGAGGAGGGGAGTCATCCACTCTGTTTGGTTCCTGCCTTATACATCCCCACCTCTTCCACCTTACCAATCTCTGGTTAAGCTTTTAGACTTCTCCAGGTATGAGCTCAGGGGAAGAAAATACTCCACTGTGAGAGCTCGGAGGGTGATGGGCTTTCTCAGATGTTCAATTACTATAACATAAAGACACTTCTCAGCACCCACATATGTGCTAGCCCTTTTCTCTAGGGTTTCTGGAGACTGATTCAACCCTCTGGTTATTCTCTTGGGATTCAGCAAAACAGCCTTCTTAGCTGCAATCCC